GGGGGGGAGGGTGACGGGGGGTGCAAGGAAGGGCGGTGGGTGAGGGGGGGCAGGAGGAAGGGCAGTGGGAGCTGAGGGCGAGGAGGGTGCAAGGAAGGGCGGTGGGTGCTGGAGGGGGAGGGTGACGGGGGGTGCAAGGAAGGGCGGTGGTGCGTGAGAAGAAGCAGGTGCTGAGGGCTGTGGCGGGGCTCCCGGAGGAGGAGGAGGAGGAGGGAGGCTACTGGGTCCTTCCCTCCGGCCGCTGGGGGGCGGGGTGGGGGGTTCTCAGCCACGGCGGCGGCCCGGAGCATGATGGGAGAATCCCCGAGCATCCAGCATGGCGGCCCCAGCGCCCGGCGCCGGGAGGAGCCGCAGCGGCTGCGGCAGCCGCAGGAGCCGGTGCAGGGGCGGGTGAGGCGGCGGCGGGCGGCGATGGTGTCCCAGGCGGTGCAGCTGCTGCGGCAGGGCCTGTGGGCGGCGCTGACCGGCGGCTGGTACCACGACCCGGAGCAGAGCAAATTCACCAACAGCTGCCACCTCTATCTGTGGCTCTTCCTGCTGGCGCTGCCGCTCGCGCTGCACCTGGTGAGGGGCGAGCCCGGCCCGGGCGGCGCGGGGCCTGGGGAGACCTGGGCACAGGATGCGGGTGGGGGTAGGGGAGAGCAGGGCCCTGCCTATGGGGAGGGGGCACAGGCCACGGTGAAGATGGGTGGAGGAGGCAGGGCTGAGAGGCGGTCATAGGGACACAGGCCGTGGGGTAGGGATGGAGATGGGGGGCAAGGAACGGAGGGTTGGAATTAGGGAGGGGAGGCAGAGAGAGGGAATGGGGGAGGGAAGTAGCCTGATATAGTTGGATGAATATTTTTTCTTGATGCTGTTTTTAAATCCCCCCTCCCACTTTGCTATGTTTTATCCATTTTGATTGTATTGTGGGACAGTGTCTTCTGGTCAGTACCAGTTAAGTGCTGCCCTGTTGTTGTCAGACATAGTCAATTTCATGGTCTTCTGTACTGATACCATTTTGCTCTGCTGAGATTTTTGAATGAATTTGCTGTCCTAGTGAAAGATGGATAAATAGTAATAAACACACTTTGTGTATATTTTAGTGGCTAATGCAGCTGCTCTTGAGAGGTGCATGCCAATTTTAATCCCACCCTTCCCCAGGGTACTGTAATTTTGCCAGCAATACTTTCTGTGTTCATCCTGATATATGGGTGAGCTTTTTAGGCCCAATAATCAAGTTGTTATGCAGGAAAGTACATGAGCAGTTAAGCTGGCACTCAATAACTAATGTGGCCAAATTATACTCTCACTTTCTCCTCTTCTGTATAGAGACACAGGTGCAACATAAATAGTGTGTGAAAGCACACCACTTTTCATTACATCCACTCCTCCACCTCTTTCTATTAAAGTGTGAGAAATGCAACTAAATTATAGTTTAATGGATTGCAGTAACTAGGAGCTTCATTCTGTTTGCTAAATATGAATAGTTTCCTTGAAAAAAAAAAGGAATCTTTTAGTCTATTCTTAGTGTACTATCAATATGGGATGTAGGCAGAAAGAGCAAGAGCATATTGTTAGGTAGAGTAGTGCATGATTTTAGTATTAGGTTCCCCAATATCTAGCTTCTAATATTTGCCATTCTTTATGTCCTCATGGCTGTAGACTCAACTCATTTCTGCAGATTTTTCTTTAATGAAGAAAAAACCTTTTCTGCCATATTAAACATTCCTCATCAGTCTCCTTACACCCCATTATTACAAAGCCTATTGCCCTGATTTTCAGGACTTCCCTCTGAAGTCCATAGGAGATGCAGATGCTCATCTTTGAAAATCAGGCTGTATAGCTTATTTCCTGGCAAGGATGCCATTTGCTTCCACTGAGCATGCTCATGGACTCCAATCAGGTAATAACATGAGGTTGGTTTCTTCCCAGGATGCCAGGTCAATTTCTGGTGTGAGACAGTAAGTGCTATAGATCCTATCCCTGTTATTTAGATTGCAATTGTAAATGAGAACTTGTTCACAGACTCTGATTTGTGGTGAAATAAAAGGTTGTTTCTTTCCCTGGGAGTACATAGAAATGGATCTGCAGGAAAATATGACTTTTCCTGGAGGATGTTGGAAACTAATCACATATGAAATAGAAAATAGAGGTGTTTAAAGAACATTGGGCCTAAAAACTGTGGAGTGAAACAAAGATGAAATAGTGAAAATATTTAAAGTTGGAGGGTGTCGGTGGGAGAAGATCTAATTTATGTGCATGAACTAACTTCCCAATTCCTGGGCTTCTTCCTCATCTCTCCGGGTAGACTTGCCTTTTCCAGGTTGGCTAATTTTGTGATGAATCATCTGATCAGCTGCAGAAACTGTTCTTGAGCAAATGTACCATGATTAGGTTTCTTTATCCTTGATAAGAATATTATATTTATTACAGAGACTGTCTAGGAGTAAGAATGTCCTTGACTATCAATTTTCTTGTTTTTGAGTGCTTGCATTTTGTAATCTTTGTGACAGGTAGCTACATTCTTGTCATTTAGCAATCTTAATGCATTCTGAATTGATTTTTTTTGTTTTGTTTTGGGAATCTTATGCAATGTTCAGGGTTAAAAATTACCAGTTACCTGCCAGTTTGTTATCTGTAGTTTCAGTGTGCAACAACCATACTTTAAAATGAAATTGATCCTAAGAGTAGACAAAACAACTGGACTAACAGGAAAAAGCAGATGTTTTGTGATATGACAAATGGAAGACTTTTGTAGCATGCATATTGCAGTAGAACCCTGTTTATCCAATCTAATTGGGACTGGGGCCAGATCAGATAATCAAAAATTTGGATAATGAGGAGAATGCGTGGGCCTCAGGCTGTCAGCCCCGTGGGCAGTGGGGTTGGCAGCCTGAGCCCTGCCACCCGATTCAGTTAATACGAAGAGCCAGATAATGGAGGCTCAGATAAATGGGGTTCTATTGTATTTCTATTCCTGACCCACATATCCCCACAGATAAGTTTATTTTCACTCACATGTGGCATCTTGTCTTAAAATAAGATTGTGGGTGGAGATTTTCAAAAGTACAAATGGGAATTAGACACCCATCTCACATTGATTTTCGGTGAGGGTTGGGTTCTCAACTTCCCTTTTGCTTTTGAAAATCTCCCTCATAATCTGTTTAGGGGAGGGACTAGCACATTAGGCCTCCCAACCTAGTTCTAGGGCAGGGGTAGGCAACCTACGGCACGCGTGCCAAACACGGCACGCGAGCCGATTTTGAGTGGCACGCAGCTCCCTGTCGTGGTCCCGACCCCCAGCCCCACTCAGCCCCCCCGCCCACCGCTCTCCCCTGCGGGAGCAGGAGGCAGAAGCTTGGTTCTGCGGCAGCCAAGCTTCCCGCTTCTTCCCCCAGCGTGGTGCTTTCCTGCCCCGCCTCCTCTCTCTGCCAGTCAGCTGATGGCCCTAGCAAGGGGGTGGGGGAAGAGCGACAGCGTGCACACAGCTCTGTAGAGGAGGCAGAGAGAGGTAGGGACGGAGCCTGGGGGAAGGGGGTGGAACAGGGCATATCCCTTCCAGCCCCCTGCCATGAGCCGCTCAGGGCAGTGGGCTGGGAGCACCCCCACAAGCCGAGCACCCCAGCCTTCTGCCCTGCCCCCCCCTGCCCTGAACCCCCTCACCCAACACACACCCATCCCTCTGCCCTGCACCCCCACAGCCCCATCCCTCTGCCCTGAACCCCCCCACACACTCACCCTTCTGCCCTGCATGCCCCACAGCCCCCAGCCCTCTGACCTGACCCTTGAACCCCCCACACACCCAGCCTTCTACCCTGCACCCCCCCAGCCCTCTGCCCTGATCTCTGAACCCCCCTACACACCCCAGCCTTCTGCCCTGAACCCCCTCATCCAGCCCTCTGCCCTGATCCCTGAAACCCCCCCCCCCCCAGGTCTGGGGTCCTGTCCGCAGGCCCTGATCAGCCCGCTGCTGGCCTAGGTGAACAGAACCCCAGGCTGGCAGCGAGCTGAGCAGGCTGGTGGCGTAAGAACAGGATTTTAATTTAATTTTAAATGACGCTTCTTAAACATTTTGAAAACCTTGTTTACTTTACATACAATAGTTTAGTTATATAATATAGACTTACAGAAAGAGACCTTCTAAAAACGTTAAAATGTATTACTGGCACGCGAAACCCTAAATTAGAGTGAATAAATGAAGACTCGGCACACCACTTCTGAAAGGTTGCCGACCCCTGTTCTAGGGCTTAAGGAGGTCGGAGGCGGGACTGTGCGCCCCTGCCTTGCAGCTTCCCCCGGGGGCTGCAGCCAGGTCCACGTGCCCTAGCCCTGCGGCGTCCATCAAGGACTGCAGCTGGGGCTGCCCGCCCTAGCCCCTTGGTGTCCTGGGCTTGGCTGGGGCTGCAGCCATGGCTGTGTGCTCCAGCTCTGCGGCTTTCACCGGGGCCTGCAGCTGGGGCTACGCGCCCCTGTTTGGCGGCTGCACCGGGGGCCATTCACCCCCCTCATGGCTTCCTAGGGCTATGCATCTCCCCCCACCCCCGCTGCAGCTGGGGCTTGGCGGGAGCTGCAGCCGGGGCCGCGCACCTCTTTCATGCAGCTGCAGCCAACTCTGGAGCTGGGGCTTTATGCCCCCCATGGCTGTGCCCCCCGCTGCAGCCGCTGGCAGGGGGCTTGGTCTCTCAGTCCCCCCCATGTTACTCCATTCTTCCCCCCTACCCAGACCTGTCCCCAGGTTATTTTTAATAAAGTCATGGACAGGTCATGAGCTCCGTGAATTTTTGTTTATTGCCTGGCTGTGACCTGTCCGTGACTTTTACTAAAAATAACTGTGATAAAATCTTAGCCTTAATTATCACTACCAGAAAGAACAGATGGGTAAAGGTAGTAGTTCATCCACCTTGAAGGTCTCAGCTGAGTTTAAGATTACCTTTTTGGAAATATCCTTTGCATGTTTAATTCTGTTTTTGCCAGTATATCTGTGAAATAAAAATCTGGCTCAGTCTTCCAAAGCACTCTCCAGTTCCAATTTAGAGATGGCCATGGCAAAATCTGGGGAAAATTGTCTTGCTTTTAACCAGATTAAAAGATATTTCTGTATGAAGATCTGAGGAGTTTAGGGATTTTGTAATATATGCCGACATGGATTATCCACTTAATCTGATATCGGTTACTTTCATTCCCCTGCTTCGTGGTGTCTCTTGTATCTTCATTCATCTGTTTAGTGCAACATTTTTGATTGTAAACTCATCAGACTAGGGACTAGTCTTTATCTATTATGTATCTAGTATGCCTGTGGGCTCTATAGAACAATAAATAATGGGAGAGGCAACCTTTCAATTCTAGGTGGCTGGCTTTAATCTGGCCCAGGTTAGTAAGGATCAAAAGTCACTAACATCTTAAGCCTTTTTGAAATTAGTTTGGTGCTGCTTTCAGTTCATTTCCAAAGGGACAGGTGTCAGCATCACACAAAGTGTCACTAAACTGGTTTGAATTAATGCCATTGTGTTACGGAGTCACAGGTCCGATGCTCTGGAACTGCTCAGTATGAAGCCAGCCAGGATTCTGGGTAGCGTGACTCC